CAAAATAATTTGTTTGATGGATGGTTGTAATCTTTTCTAGCGATAATTCTTACCGCTCTTTTCTGCAAAACAAAAATCGTATTTGTAATTGTTTTGTCCCCAGCATTTGCTTCCATGTGACCATTTTCAATGTATTTTTCTATATTTAACATTATTAGTTAACTTGGTGTAGATTCAAAGTAAAAATATTTGTAGTATTCTGCTGCGTCTTGCGCGGATTGATATTTTACTCACGACTGTATTTTGAACTGCGAGTTTTGGTTGCAAAGCGTGTGTAAAAAATATCTTGGGATACCAGAACTCACCAACAATGGGGCCAGTGTCCACACCATGCTTTGCCAGCTGTTGTTTTAACTCTTCATCAGTGAGATCTGTCACCTCCACCTCCTCAGTGCGGGGCTTATCAGTCTTTCTGGTAGCTTTCTGCAGAGAAGAGAGAGAAAAAAGTCAAAACAACTGAAGAACAAAGCGCCCTTTATCATCACGAGAAAACGTGTTTGAACCTCACCACATCAAAAATACTGATTTTCCAGATTTAAAAAAAAAAAGGTGCAAATGAAAGCTTACTCTTCCAGAGCGACTTCTGTTGGACACCACCGGGGCAGGCAACTCTTCGTCGCTGGAGAAAGTGTCTGCAGGCGGGCTCTTCTTGTTGTTCAGCACCGTCAGGTTCTTCAGATACAGCTGCACATAAACCTCCTTCTTGTGCTCTCCGCTCGGAAGAGGCACATTGTTCGCTGCGAGCTCATTCTTCAGTTTATCTTTCGTGAGGACTGACGGGTCTTCGAGAAACTCTGCCATGCTAGCTTATTTATTTATTTTTTTAAACCAAACGTGTTATTTGTTTCGCTGCTCAGACCGGTGATCTGGTTCAAGAAGGCGCTACAAAAACAAAAACAGTGAGAGGACGTGAAGTGGCGCCTACCCACTGCCTGTTTTTAGCTAGCAGCACCGAAGCGATTTATCAAAAATAAACCTTTAGCTTAGCTCGTTAGCCTACGGCCAAAAACATTCACGGATAGTTCTGAATTTTCGAAAACAGATCCGCGTCTGTATTGAGACTAAAACACGTCCAAAAATATACATGTACCAGATGTACATTAACCGAATTAGCTTAGCTTCAAACCGGTCTACTTGCTGTCTGTCCGCGGTCGAAACAGGGCCATGATGTAAGCTGCGTCGCTATTGGACGAAGAGCCGCAGTAAGCTTCAATCTGATTGGTTCGCTACGAATGAAACTCTGGCAGGCTGCCGCGGCCGCCACAAAGGAAACGTAGACTGGGAATTTTGCCTAACAATTTAACGTAAATCCTGCTATGAAAAATGCATTATTCCTTTAATTTTCACATTATGAGATTTAATATAATCTAAAGACGGAAAATATAAGTTTAGATTATCAAATTTAGACGTTTTATGGAATAAAACTGCAGTTTTTCGACGTGATAAGGCACTAATCGTTAATTGCATAAAGCTGTGATTGCCAGATCTATAACACTTTTATTAATGGTTTATAATGATCACACAACAATGACGATGTAGTGATTTATATACAATTTACATAATATGGTAATGCACAAGTACTTTAGATGTTGCCTGTGTAACAGAAGAGGGCAGCAGAACCACATAAAAAAAAGAAAATTAGGCTCTTCTATAATAATCAATCAGGCAAATATCAGTAATGTAATAAGGTACAACATGAGAAAGAAAGGCTTTATGATTCCAAATACAATTGTGCTCAGATTCTCCCTTTCTGAGACAGTTAGATATTTTTTCATTACACTTTTGAGTGTCTCCATATTGGTTTTCTGGCTTAAACACTGCTGCACATCAAGATCACAGCTTTTATAAGAGAACACATCAGATAAAATGAGAGAAAAAGAGTCTAAATCATTTTATTATGCTTCATGTCTAAATTAAATGAGATAAAATGGAAATTTAAAGGCCTGAGATGACACATTTTTAAGATTCTCCAATACATAATAGACTGACATAATTCACTCCCATCCATCCATCCATCCATCCATCCATCCATCCATCCATCCATCCATCCATCCATCCATCCATCCATCCATCCATCCATCCATCCATCCA